TTTGTGTTTTTTTCAAAAAGGCCTAGAAAGTCCTCAAAATCACATTTCAAACTCAGATTTCTACTAAGCTTTTAGTAGTTCGAGCGCTCTAAAGGGGGTTCGAGCGCTCTAACTTTGGGCAAAACTCTCGGGGCAATTTTCAAGCACTTGAAGCCCTTGCTCAAGTGCTCGAGGTACTGTTCACGGGTGTATGTGTGTCTTGGTTCAGCACTGCACCTCCGACTTCGAATTATCACATCTTCTTCATTTTAACTCTGAATCAGACGATTCTTGAGTCTAAATTGACCGCGTTGAAGTAAGCTTTCCAATGGTACCAATGTCAGATTCAGATTATTCTTGTAGCTCAAGATATTCAAGTTTTAATAAGGTAGTGTCTGTTTTTTGTTCGAACCGGGATAGGGTTTCCCTTCCTTCGACTTCAGAACTTGATATCTTTGCCGTCTGGACTCCGAATCAAGTGATTCTTGAGTCTATCTTTATTAATTTTTTGTTATCTTTCCAATGGTGTGCATGGTGGTAACCATTTTAGTGTGGAATGACCATTTTGCCCCTAGGTTCATTCTTATCCATTTTTGAAACGTTGCTTCCGCATTTTCTTCCTTAGTTTTGTGATCTCATTGAGGGCCACATTGGTGTCTTAGAGGAGTGTTGTATCTCTAGAGACTATTGTCCTATCTTTTGCTTCCGCATTTTGGATCCGTTTTAGGTCATCACAGGACACACTGGGTTGAAAAATCCAGGGTCGTCTCAAAACTACGAACCAAAACCCAAACCCCAGTTGCACAAACCAGTTGCCAAACCCATACCCAATCAAACTATAGTGAATAGTCTCACCGAAATTGTGAATCCTTGCTCGCCGATCACTCGATCAGAAGCTTGCGCACCGATCAGAACCTTGCTTACTGTTCAATCACGCCGTTAATAGTTCATCATCACTGCTCTCTTACTGTCATTGTCGCCCGAATCCGTTATCACCATCGTCAGTTTCTCATCGCCCACGTTAAGTCACCTCTGGTCGTCGCTAGGAGTTTCCTGTGGTCGTCGCTGTGGTTTGTTACAGTGTAAATCGTTTGGGACAAAGATATATAAACATGAAGCTTATCATGACGTTTGGACCGCCGTTGATTCTGTCGCCGGCAATGGTGACAGTTGTGTTGCAGAGAGAGGTTAGAAAGAGAGAGACTTGAAATCAAAGGTGAGATTCTGATCACCGTGGTGAACAAGGGCAGTGGTCATGAGGCTGCTACAGAGACAGAGATAAAGAGAAGGAGATGAATATTGGGAAAAGGGAAAAAATGAAAAAAAAAATTTTGGACATATTTTAGTGGGCAAAATGATCATTTTCTATTCCCAGTTATTTTGTCCATTTTAGTAATACAATAACAAGGGTATATAAATAAATTTATAACCAAATCTGGTATTGAGTGTCTTTGCAACAAAATGGGGTTTAGTTGCAATTAGTCCAACAGAGAGAGGTCATTGTAGTTTACCCAACAAAAATTTACTCTAAAATAAAATTTAAAAAAAAAAATTAATTTGTGATAGATTTAAGAGTAAAGTATAGAAACATCCTGAGGTTTGAAGAAAGGCCATGCAAAGGAAAGTTTGCCTATTTTTAAAAAATGACACCCCTTCAAGTTTGAAAAATAGACAAAAAGACCCTGAAGATGTTGAATTGACCTTATTACCCTTTGATATAAAATTGACATTTTAATTGACTTTAATACCATTGGATTAAACCCTAACCCAAACCCATCTCAAACCCTAACCCGCCTGTGTAAAGAACCTTCCCCCTTTCTCTTTGTATGTACATTAAATAAATTGGGGCCTATTCTTGTAAAGAAAAAGGCTTTGAAACGAAATGCAAGTTGGAGGAAAAAGGTAAGAGAGCAGGACGTAGGAGGGAAGCTAGGCAATAGAACCCCTTTAGTGAAACTAATTGATCGTTCTTTGGCAACAGAAGGAGTGGGGGTATCGCCACCGCCTCATCATCATTCTCATGTGGTGGTGCTTGAACCCATCGTCATGGTGGTGGCGGTAGCAGGGCAGGCGACCCATCATGGTGACGAGATCCTGGCCGACGAATCTCTGGGATCAACCCGTGTCGTCCCTTTGACACAATACTTTAGTTCATAAATCACTGCCCCATAAACAAAGAATTTGGTTGCGCTGGTAGAGGTGGCAGCAGAGGAAGTGACCTCCTCCACGTGATTGTCTTCTTCCACGGGGACCACCGCCACTGTGTTCCTTCCTACCCTCTCTCTTTTTTCCTTTCTCTAATTTATAATATATTATATATATATATACACACACACAACCATAACAGATCAAAATCAAAACATTTTGATTTTTACAGCAATTCGCATACCAATTCAATTGCAAATTAATGAGGCCGGCCCGCCGACCACCGCCACTGTGGCTCCTTCCCACCCTCTCTCCTTTTTCCTTTCTCTAATTTATAATATATTTATATATATATAAATTTCAAGCAATGACATCACAGCCATCATCAACATCTTCTTCTTCTTGCATATCTGAGCCAAATTACTGCTTCCATTGCCTATTAATTTCTGCTCCTCAACAATTAGTGACAAGATCTTATAATATATATATATATATATATATATATATCAAAATCAAATTTGACGATGATAAAAGAGGGGAAAGAGAAGAAAAAGTTAAGGATAGAGAAAATTTGGGTTTTACCCAATAACCAATTTAAACTTATTTAATTCAAAGGCATTTAAGTCAATTGTATTTGTCAATTTTATATTAAAGGGTAATAAAGTCAATTCATCATTGTCAAGGTGTATTTGTCAATTTTATCAAACTTGAGGGGGTGTGATTGTCTAAAAATATGACAACGTACTTTTATTAACCTGTTCTTATGCCAAACCTAAGAAGGTGTTGGTGTACTTTACCTTTAGATTTAAAAATGAGGAGATATTGTCGTTTAGTGGGCATACTGCACACCCAACTTAAAAAAAGAAAAAAAAGAAAAAAAAAAGGAGGCAAATTACACAAACTATTCCTCAACTTTTCATTTTGTGCATGTAGATGGAAGATGGCAAAGTGTATTGGTCAACTACCCTTATAGTCTTATTGACCTTGCACATGACTTCCATCGGTGAGTTGGGCTGTGGGGGTAAGAAACGTTTGGACAAACATAACCTTCTTCTTGTAAGAAGACGAAATAGTCCATTCATGTCACTTCATTTATCACCTGACCCACTTACATTGCAGAATTTTGCTCACTGTTAGAAGCAAATGGATTGAGCAAAGAAGAGCCATGAATACTCCTCGAGGAGAAGTTTGTGGCACGGATTTTAAGGGCTGGACTTTTCCCACAAGTCAATGCTCTGTAAATTCCCGGTGAACCTGTTTGGCATTTGGAATATGTTTGGTTGTGAAAAATGATTTCCAAATCAACAAATTCTTAGCGAATCTGTTTGGTTAGGTGGCATTTGGGATTATATTTGGTTGTGATTATTAATTTCCATGTCAAGGGAAATTCTCGATGAATTTGTTTGGCTAGGTGGTGTTTGGGACTATGTTTGGTTGTATTCTTTTTCAAAATGAAGTAAAGGGTGAGATTTACCAAAAATTAAAAATCAGATCCAAAAGTGGCTACTAGTAGATACCCAAAATCAAAGATGGCAAATAAGTGTGTCGTCTATTTATTTGTGTGTGTGTATATATATATATATATATGAACATATGTATCAAATCAAAACCCTAACTTTCTAACCTTAGATGAGTTGTTGTTTGAATTCGGCAGATAGAGAAATGGCTGAGAGCTAGATATATGTATGCATGATTATATCTATCAGTATATATATATATAGGTATAGATATATATACACACACACAAAGAGAAAGAGGGAAGAAAGAGAAAGAAGTCCCAACTAGATTGTTTGAGGAGGGGCAAAAACGTAACTTAAAAATATACCAATTCATTCTTAATTTTTTTATTAAACAAATGGCTTAACTTCAAGGTCAAAAACGTAAATTCATCCCAATCCACTGAGGTCAAACAGTCAAATTAGAGCTTACTTTATTTCGTGACTAGTTCTACTATATTAGTGCACGAGATTAAAAACTCGGGGTGCTTTCTGTAATTTATCCAAAAAAAAAAAAAACATAAATAAATACAGTTCTCACTATACTTGTAATATTACCGTTTTTCTCTGCCTTCACACTATCCAATACGGGTAGGTAGACGGTTCTCTGGTTTAGGTTCAGTACCTGGCAAAATTCAATTGGCTGTCCACGAATCACAAAACCCAAATTGTCACATGGACCTTTTAGTAAGTAATGATAGTTGGACACGTGGCGATTCCAAAGTGGTACCATAACTAATGTTTTTAAAGTGGTTCATCATTCCATTCCCGCGGTGTAAAGAAGACAACGAGACGACTTAAGAGAGACGTACGGATATCGAATCGATGCTTAAAGTCCATGCGGAAAGGCACCGTCTTCTTCGCAAGTGGAGCCTCTTTTCTCTCTCATCGGACATTCACTCTCTCTCTCAACAAACTTTTAACCTTCCTTGCTCACGAAGTTTACCTTCTTTATATTCAGCATTCTTTAGCCCCTCAGTCCACACAAAGAAACAGAGCTAATTTCATCTCACTCACTCTCTCTCTCTAGATACATACATACAGAAATATATATATATATATATATATATATATATATATACCTGGCAAAATTCAATTGGCTATCCACGAATCACAAAACCCAAATTGTCACATGGACCTTTTAGTAAGTAATGATAGTTGGACACGTGGCGATTCCAAAGTTGTACCATAACTAATGTTTTTAAAGTGGTTCATCATTCCATTCCCGCGGTGTAAAGAAGACAACGAGACGACTTAAGAAAGACGTACGGATATCGAATCGATGCTTAAAGTCCATGCGGAAAGGCACCGTCTTCTTCGCAAGTGGAGCCTCTTTTCTCTCTCTCATCGGACACTCACTCTCTCTCTCTCTCTCTCAACAAACTTTTAACCTTCCTTGCTTACGAAGTTTACCGTCTTTATATTCAGCATTCTTTAGCCCCTCAGTCCACACAAAGAAACAGAGCTAATTTCATCTCACTCACTCTCTCTCTCTAGATACATACATACAGAAATATATATATATATATATATATATATAAACTGTTTTGAGGAGATATATCAAAAATGGCGACGCCTCAGGAACACATAGAGCAGATAAGGAAAACGAAGTTCTCTATAGGGGAAGAAATATCGAATCCGCTCACTGAAGATCTTCATCAGGCTGTTAAGAATCTCTCTGCTGAACTCTACGCCAAAGATGTCCATTTCCTAATGGAACTTATCCAGGTTCATTTCCTACTATATATATTTGTACTTATACGCATATGTATACACACAATTGTATTTGCTCATATATAAACAGTATATGCATGCCCCTAATGCATGTAGAGGTACGTAATTACTTAATTACTCTAAGAAAATAGCTTAATAGCATGGCTCATGATGACTTCGAACTCGAATTCTCTCTGGTCCACACGATAGGACGAACGTACATCACTCCACATGCATACGGTCTAGTGATTGGAAGGGACAGAGATAACTGTGAGATGGGTTCACCATGATTGTGGCCACGGATCACACCATGTGTGTGTCGGTCTCTTATCTCTTAGAGAATTTGGTTTAAAGTAATACTTTCATGAGCTCTCTTATCTAATCAATAAATTCACAGAGTCATTAAATGAATAATTTAATTTTTTACACATTTCAAAAAAATCTGTTTCGATTATGTGGTTTAAATAAGAGAACTTTGGCATGTTTGGTGTGGTGGAATGAATTGAAATGGAATGAGAATAGAGGTGGGAATGGAATGAAATGGAAAAATAGAATAGAATGAATTTATATTATTTTTTTAAATTACATTTTATTATTAGTAAAAAAGATTAACTATAAAAATTAATCTGCAAAAATAAAGGGGAAAGAGGTAATAGAGAGAGAAAATAGCCCAGATAAAGAGAAACAGAGGGCTCTGCGATGACTGCAAAAATAAAAGGGAAATAGATAATAGAGAGAGAAAAAAAAATTGACGAGATAAAGAAAGAAAATAGACGAGATAAAAGAAACAGGAGACTCACTATCAAAATAAAAGGGAAAGAAATAATTTTTCAATCATCTTTTTCGGCGCGAAAAAAGAAACAGATGGCTAGAGAATGACTGAGAAAGTTGCATAACAAAGCACAAAAGCTCATACAAGTTCAATTACACTATTTTTGTCTCAACCTTGTGCGCGTAAATCGGAGAGAGGGAACAAACGGCATATAAATACATATTATCTATATATATATATATATATATATATATAGTGTGTATGCATGAATTATCTTTTTAAATTACTTTATTAATTCTTGGTGGGAATGGAATGGTCATTCCACCTCTCAAGAAGAGGAATGAGCATTCCACCTTTTTGATGGAATGGTTATTCCCTAGGAATAACCATTCCACTTTTAATGTGACACACCAAACAAGAAAATAAAAATAAATACATTACATTTCATCTTTTTTGATTCCATCCAGACACACCAAACATTGCCTTATATCTCTTGTTGCAAGACATCACTTAATAACATTACTCTTTTGTTTGATGGGTTCGTGCTTCATGGTGATTTATACAGTACTATGAATGGTAATTTATATAATTACATGTATGCATAAAGACGGTGCCCCCAAACAGAATTGGGTAAATGAAAAAAAGCGAAGTAAACAAAAAAAAAGGACAGAGGGGGACCCGCTTCATAATTTGGTGAATGTACAGAAATGATAGAATCGGAATCCTTTTTGTAATATATAGTACTCTGTATAATAATAGTGCGTAATAAATAAAGAAAAAAGGGAAAATGAAAGAGAAAAAGACATCAAGTTTTAATCATCTATTTTTGTAAAAATAATATTTGCGATTCTACAAAAATAAATAAATAAATAAATAAATAACTTTAAGAAAAACTACTTGTTTGAGTTGATGATGATGAGAGGAACATAAAGGGAATGATTTGGAGATAAATTATGTAAAAAAAAGAAAAATTCTGAAAAAATTGAAGAGAAATTGAAAGAACTGAAGGCTTAGCCTTTCAAAAGGGTAGGAAAGAGGAGGAAAATGATACGAGAGTTGCCCATCCTTTTGTTCTTTTGAATTTTAATTTTATTCTTATCAATTGCAAAGTAAAATAATAATTTTCTTTCTTTTAAAACAGTAAATACTTCTATATATTTTTTTTCTTCTTATTAATCAACGAAATTTAAAACAACATTGTATTTTCTTTCATTTTCTTTTCTTTTGTAATTAATATTTTCATACCCGCAAGTAAAAGAAAAAAGAGAGCCAATTAAGTTTCATATTTTATCACCAAGTTCTACTTTTCACTTTAAAAGATAAATAAAGGCCTATAAATTGTCTTTATAATTGATAAGTCGTACATTTAAATTTTTTTTGCATTTAAATTTTAAATCACTAAAACTTTCATTTACACAGTTACTAGATTAAATATAAAATTAAAGCTCTAACTTTCATTTTTACCTTTTTAAAATTAGATATAAATTTCAAATAAAAAGCGAAAAAATTAAATATTACCCAAGATTTATTAATTGAGTTTTAATTAAATTAATTATTATCTTAACTCATATTGCAATATTTATTAATCAACTGAAATATATATAAAAAATAGATTATATATCAATTTGTTTTCCCAAAGTTATATAGTAAATTTTTAATTTAAAATTACAAAATTTTACTTCTATTTACTAAATATAATGAAAGATGGCATGTTTGGTTTATCATTCAAAAAATGCTTTTTAAGAATTGAAATAATAGAAAACTGTTTTTCAGGTCTATGTATTTCCTGCTTATATATGAAAAGAAAAAAAATATTTTTAAAGAACTATGAAAAAACTGTCTTATGAAAAATGACATTTTTTTTTTTAACTGAATTTATATAAGACCATTCTCACTCAATCAACCACACACACACATATATATATATATATATATATATATTTGTATTATTTTTAATTTTTCAATTTTCAAAAAACAAAAAATTGTTTTAACAAGACTGAACCTTAGTTATTTACGAAGTAAAACTTATATAAATAAACAAATAAAAAATGTTCTTTAATATATATTCCAGAGTTTGACAGAGTTGGTAAGACAGGTGGACTGCATTATATTTCTTGACTGAAATTGGTGCCAACCAAAAAAATTAAAAAAAAACACGTATATATACATACATATTTCTATATGTATAACATAGTTGAGATGGTGTGTGATACTGATTGCAGAATGCAGAGGACAATGAGTACCCAGAAGGGGTGGATCCATCGCTGGAGTTTGTGATAACGTCTCGAGACATCACAGGGACAGGGGCTTCAGCGACTTTACTGATATTCAACAACGAGAAAGGCTTTTCCCCTAAAAACATCGAATCCATTTGCAGTGTCGGTCGCTCCACCAAGAAAGGCAACCGTAAACGCGGCTACATTGGCGAAAAAGGTTAGCTTTCTCAATCCATGTATATATAATATTGTGGTTTTTATGTATTGATTTAGCACCATCATCATCATCTCTGCCTAGACTCATTTCATTATTTGTGGTTTGATTCTTTTTATGCTTTTGCAGCTGAGTGAGATTAATGTTGGGTATCTTTTTCTAAATTTCTAATGCCGATATATACATATATATAATTTATATTGTTTGGGTATTTAATTGATCATGGTTTATGTGAAAACATATTTTATGATTAAAATTTAGTTTCATGGTTACTCCTTATTGTGCTATTGCTAGACATGGGATTGTTGATTTTGTAAAAGAAGTCGGTAAAGTACTGCATGTGAACTCAGGATCTCCAAATGTATTAATTTAAATGTATTAAATTAATTATTAGAGCCATGCCCCAAGTTACTGCGTGTGAACTCTGGATCTCCAAATGTATTAATTTAAATGTATTAAATTAATTATTATCTTAACTCATTTGGATTAAGAACAATTAATAAAAAGAAATCTTTCTACAGTTGTCTACGTATTCTGTAGTTACTTATTGCTTCAATTTTTTTTGTCCTAGTTTATTGCATCAATTGTCAATTCTTGGTTATTGAGATTCATGACAATATGTTTTCAAGTGTGCGCGCGTGTGTTATTTTTTTCACCTCCTTTCTTTAATCTACCGGAAGTCAAATTTAGATTGTTGTTCAATTTAGTGAAGCTATGAACACATTTTAAATTAGAATTAGTAACTATCCACACCATGCAATTACTGAGAAGCTCAAATGAATAAAATATCTTAAATATCCATGATCACGAGACATATGCTTATAGCTATTAATAAGCACTTATAAAAAAATTAAAAACCATAATTCCAACACTTGTAATAATGTAAATAATATTGAGATGATAGAAGTAAGAGGATTGATCAAGCAGCCCAGTTCTAAAGGCGCCAGTATATTCATCAAAGTCTTTGTAAACCAATAATGTGGTTTTTCATTAAAGGCTATTCATCTAAAAAATTTGGTTGATTATAAGCAACAGTTTAACTTAAGTCAACTCAAACAATGAACAATGAATTAGATTGGGAAAATATAGATAATTGAGTGCCATGAGATCTCGATGACTTATATAAAAATAGAAAGGAAAAGGTTGAATAATTTGCTCAAAGAATGCTGCGCAACATTGCTCTATTCTTTGGATTTCAAGTGAGAATTTGGAGAAACTATCAACAATTACAAAAACAATGTTTTTTGTTGCATTTGCTCCTGCACTTTCTCTCTGATCTTCTAGTTCTTTCATTTATTCCAAAAATTCACCACGGTTGCAGTGAATCTGTTTAAAACTGGAATAGACTACTGACTATTGTGAATTGAAATGTACGTCTCTTCTTTATACAATTTTTTTCTTAATTTCTTAGAGTGACTGTATTTTTCTTCTTTAAGGATAAGTAGAGTGCCTGATTTACCCCATGTTCTTTGATTTGTTTACCCCATGTTCTTCAACGTCTAATACAATTTATCCTTTTGCAAATTTTCAGGAATTGGTTTCAAGAGCGTGTTTCTGATCACAGCACAGCCTTACATATTCAGTAATGGCTATCAGATAAGGTTCAATGAAGAACCTTGGTCGCAGTGTAATGTTGGTTACATTGTTCCTGAATGGGTTGACGAGAACCCTGATCTTTCTGTCGTAAAACAAGTATATGGCTCTGGTACTACCCTTCCAACAACAACAATAATCTTGCCTTTGAAGCCTGACAAAGTCAAACCTGTGAAGCAGCAACTCTCAAATATTCATCCTGAAGTTTTGTTGTTCCTTTCAAAGATAAGGCGGCTTTCAGTTAAGGAAGATAACGAGGACCCTAGGCTCACTACTGTCAGTTCAATAGCTCTATCAAGTGAGAAAAACTTCGTTTCAAGAAAGAACATTGATGCTGAATCCTACGTGCTCCATCTCTCGGCTGATGGAAGTGGTGGCAATTTGGAAAGAGAGTGCGGCTACCATATGTGGAGGCAGAGGTTTCCCGTCAAGCAGGAAAATAAAGTAGAAAGAAGAATGGAAGTAGAGGAGTTGGTGCTCACATTGGCTTTTCCATTTGGTGAGCGTCTTTATAGGGGAATGAACTCTACTGGGATCTTCGCATTTCTCCCTACAGAGATGGTTACGAACTTCCCCTTCATAATCCAGGCAGATTTTCTTCTTGCGTCATCAAGGGAAACCATCCTTTTGGACAGCAAATGGAACCTAGGGATACTTGACTGTGTACCTACTGCTTTTATGCATGCATTCATTTCGCTGGTGAAAGCCACAGAAGGTGCTCCACTGTCCAGCCTGGCTTGCATGTTTAAATTCTTACCACTCAACAGCTCTTCCTATCCATTGCTGAATGCTGTGAGGGAGATTATTAAAGCAAAACTGGTGAATGAAAATATTGTTCCGTGTGAGTCAGACATGGAGCAGAGGTTCTTCCATAAACCCAATGAAGTTGGCAGGCTAATGCCTGCTTTCTGGAATATACTAGGAAAGGCAAGAGGGCAAGGGGTGAGCTTGCATAATCTCTCTTCGCATGGAAGGTACATACTAAGTTCTTCGTTTGATGAAACAAAGTACGATCATGTATTGGATTTCTTGGGAGTGGAACCTGTTGATGACGAATGGTATGCAAAGTGCATCCGAAGTTCTAATCTTGTGTCAGGAGTGTCTGATGATTTGTACTTGGAGCTGCTTCTATTTCTTGCACAGAAATGGCGGTCCAATTTTCAGAAAACTAGCATAAAGAACATTCCCCTTTTGAAGTACATTGATCTTGATGGGAATGTGTCTTTGTGTAGTATAGACGCCTCCAAGCAGCTAAGTAAGAGGGTGCTTCTATCTCGTGACCATCGCCCTATCTCATGGCTGATTAATTGGAACAGGGAACTCAAATGTCCTGCAGTTTGCACATTTCTACCCCAGTCAACACAGGAAGCTATCCTATTATGTTGTACGAGACAGATACTATTGGAATGGCTTTCAGACCAGGTGAATGTTAAGGCTGTAAGTGTTTACGAATATGCGTGTCTAGTCAATGATTCACTCAGAAGTGATAGAAAGCTTGTTATCTCCTACGCCCATTTCTTATATCATTCGCTGTCAGATAAATATATGGCCGTTGGAGATGTTAATAATTTGTGTGCTGCCATGCCACTTGTTGATAACTATCGGCAGATCACCACAGGTAAGAGAGGGGTGCTTGTCCCTGCGAATGGAAGCAAATGGGTTGGACTGTTTGGATCAAATCCTTGGAGAGAAGAAGGTTACATTGAGCTTGCAGAAGACTATTTGCAGTCTGGCAACTTTGCAGGTTTGTTTACCCCTGAAAAACAGCTTATTGAGTTCCTCAAAAGTCATCTCAGGGTCTCTGATATACCGGATCTATCTCCTCCCAATGCCGTGATTCCCTCCATGTCTACTCTTCTAACGAAGCAAAACACATTCTTGCTGTTGGAATGGATTAAAAAAATGAGACTAAAGGGAGTTGGCTTTCCGTTGAAGTTTTTGACATGCATAAGGGAGGGAAGCTGGCTTAGGGTTTCGTTAAGTGGCAGTCCTGGATGTAGGCCCCCATCACAGTCATTCTTTCCATCCTCATCATGGGTACAACTTCTGCAGAATGATTTTGTGCAAGTTGATATTCCAATAATTGATCAGAGTTTCTATGGGGATGAAATTAGTAGCTATAAGGAGGAGTTAAGAACGGCTGGCCTGATGTTTGAATATGGGGAAGCATGTCAATTTATTGCGAAGCATCTCATGTCTCTGGCAGCTTCCTCAACATTAACCAGAGGCAATGTGTTTGCCATTCTAAATTTTATCAAGTTTTTGAGGGAGAAGTATCTTCCTCCTGAAGAATTTATCTGCAATGTCAAGGTAGGAAGATGGCTAAGGACTTCCCAAGGTGACAAGTCCCCAGTTGGATCTGTTTTGTATGATCTGGAGTGGAAAGCTGCATCACAAATCAGTGATATTCCCTTCATTGATCAATTTTACTATGGTGACAAAATCCTCTGTTTCAAAACAGAACTGCAGCTGCTTGGTGTGTTAGTCAGCTTCAATCAAAATTTCCAGCTTGTTGCTAACCATCTAAAATCTTCAGCATGCTTTGCTAGTCTGTCAGCTGAGGCTGTTATTTTGATACTGGAATGTATACATCATTTAAGATCATCCCACAATATTATAAGTGCAGTCAAAAACCAGAAATTCTTGAAGACAAACATGGGCTACAAGTCTCCAGCTGAATCCTATCTATTCAATCCTGAATGGGGTTGCCTTCTGCAGGTGTTCAATAGCTTCCCACTTATTGATCACAACTTCTATGGAGCAAGTTTGTTGAAATACATAAATGAGTTGAAGCAGATAGGGGTTATGGTGGATTTTGAGGAGGCAGCCAAAGCATTTGCTCTCATTTTTAAGCAACATGTGTCATTATCCTCCATCAGAAAAGATCAAGTTATTTCATTCCTGGCATGTTTCAGAAATCTGAAAGGAACAGCTTTTAAATTTCCATTGGTTCTTAAGAACTGCATTCATGAAGTGAAATGGTTGCGAACACGGCTTACTGATTACAGAACGCCAAAAGAGTGCATTCTTTTTGGCGCAGATTGGGAATCTGTCTCTCCAATCTCGCTGCTTCCTTTCATTGATGATAGTGACATTTACTGTGGTAAGGACATCTATGAATACGAGGAGGAGCTGAAGGGAATGGGTGTTGTTGTTGATTTCAAAGATGGTTACAAGTTTGTGATTTCTGGCCTATATTTACCCTCAAATCCTAGCAGCATAACTCCTGTGAATGTAAATTCATTGCTGGAATGCATTAGGAATTTCCTTAAAGAGCCAAATGCGTCCCTTCCTGATAATTTTTTGAAGAAAGCTTCTCAGAAATGGTTAAAAACTAATGCTGGTTATAGGTCTCCAGACAAGTGCTTGCTGTTTGATTCGAGCTGGAGTTCTCTCTTGCAATGGGATGATGGGCCATTCATTGATGAAGAATTTTATGGTTCCAAAATTAAATCCTACAGAGAAGAGCTCAAAGCGTTAGGAGTTACTGTTGATGTTAGAAGTGGGTGCCAGTTGCTTGCAAGCCACCTTGATTCTCATTCTAAGTTCACTACTATTGTTCGTATTTATAATTATTTGAACGAGGTCAACTGGATGCCCATTGATGGAAGCACTACTAAAATTTGGGTCCCGAATGGAAGTGACGACGGAGAGTGGGTATGCCCTAAAGAATGTGTGATTCACGACAAGGATGATCTCTTTGGCACGCAGTTGCATGTGCTGGAGAAATGGTATGAGAGGAAATTACAGCACTTCTTCTCCAGTGTGCTGGAAGTGAAGATCAATCCTTCGGTAGATGATTACTGTAAGCTTTGGAAGGTATGGGAAAGCACTGGACACAACGTGTCATATGCAGAATGTTGTGCCTTTTGGGGGTATGTTATAAAGCACTGGAGTTCGAAGACCGAGAAAAGCCTTGCTGAGAACTTGTTGAAACTGCCTGTAAGTTCAGGGCCCGAAGGAATTCTGTTGTTTGACAAGCGAGATGTCTTCATTGCCAATGACCTTCAATTGAAGGATCTTTTTGAGCAGTCTTCTTCTCGTCCACTATTTGTTTGGTTTCCTCAGCCAAGCTTGCCATCCTTGCCACGGTCTAAACTGCTTGAAATATACAACGAGATTGGTGTCAGGACTATCTCTGAAGCTGTAACGAAAGAACTGTCTGTAGTGGATGGACTTGAAATGAAGCAGGTGAACCCGAGTGATGTGTTAATTGGAAAAGGGTTGTTCAGACTTATTCTTAGTTTTCTAGCTGATCTCTCTCTCAAAATGGAAGGAGAGAAGAGGCATGAAGCTGTGAGATGCCTCTTTAATCTTACTGTCCTAGAGACAGTAGAACCTATTACAATGGGATACAGTTTGTCGCTGTCTTCAGGGGAAATTGTGAATGTGAGGGCAAGCCGGGTGATACGTTGGGAGAGAGAGAATTTGAAGCTGTTTGTGCAGAAAATGGATAGGTCAGGTGGACAGAAAAATATGATCAAATATGCTACTTATTTTTCTGAAGTAATATCTGAAGGAATGCTATGGGAGAAAGAAGATCACATATCTCAGCTGGCTGAGCTGATGAAGTTGGGCTACCTTCTCGAATTTGATGAGGAAGCCATTGGGTTCTTGCTGAAGACCAAGAATCTGCAGTTATATTCGGAGGACGAGGAGTTTCTCTCTTCTGCTTTGCCTTCTAATTAACTATGTTATGAACTTTTTGTGCTTTTAAGTTTTCTATTGCTGTTCTGTTTGGCTATTTGGTTTACGTATGGCGTGCTGTTAGAGTGAAATATGCTAGATGTACCTATTGCTCAAGGGATTTCGTGTAGTAGTTTATTAGTAACCTTTATTTATAGTACTTCTGGCCTTTGTTTCTTACTTCCGTATTGGTTATCCATATAGAATTCATTATTCTATTTTCGTTCATCATCTGTTTTCCATCTTCTTGCGTATGGTCATGTTTAAGTGAAGCACCATAACAAGTCTGGATAACAAGAAGTATAGGTAAACTGGAGAACTTTGGGTATCTTTGTTGGATTGGTTTTGAATTTATTTGCATGTGTGTATATGTTGAAAAGGAAAGATTCGGTAGTAATACTACCAAATATTATTAGCTGTAAGTATAATATTTGGAGGATATTTGCTATAAATAGAATATTGGTCAAATACTGTAACTTAGAAAATTATTAATTAGGCCAGCTAGCTATGTGCGTGTATTCTCTCCTATAAAGAGAACCCGTGTAAACTTGTGAATTGAGTAATAATACAAAGGAAAAGGTTTTTCCATATTTCTTTCCTTTCAAGTTTATATGGTATCAGAGCCACCTTAAAAAAATCAATAAATAAAAAATAAAAAATAAAATTTCTTTTCTGCACAATTTCTTCACTGATCAGCGATGTCTGACGTTTCCTCCATGTCAACCATGCCTATCACAATTCAGTCAACCAATCTAACAACCCAAGCCCCCAGTACCGATTCTCACTCGGTTCAGATCACCAATATTCGCCTTAATGGTGACAATTATTTACGGTGGTCCCAGTCTGTTAGGATGTACATTAGAGGGCGGGGAAAGATTGGGTATCTGATGGGAGACAAGAAGGCACCAGTATCGGAGGACCCAACGTACGTGACCTGTGATGCAGAAAATTCAATGGTGATAACTTGGCTTGTGAACTCCATGGACGATGATATTAGCTCTAACTATATGTGCTACTCCACAGCCAAGGAGCTTTGGGACAACGTGAATCAGATGTACTCTGATTTGGGAAATCAGTCTCAGATCTACGAGTTGACTCTAAAACTTGGTGAGATTCGGCAAGGAGAAGACTCGATCACTAAGTATTTCAATTCATTGAAGCGCCTTTGGCAGGACATGGATCTGTTCAATGATTATGAATGGAAATCCACTGAAGATGCCAATCACTACAAACGGACCGTGGAGGCTCATCGCATTTACAAATTCCTTGCTGGGTTCAACGTGGAATTTGATGAAGTATAAGGACGGATCATTGGCAGGACTCCACTTCCTCTAATTGGTGAAGTGTTTATTGAGGTTCCAAGAGAAGAGAGCCGCAGACATGTAATGTTGGGGAAGAAGACTACCAGCGAACCTGTTGAGAGTTTTGCCCTTATTGTTGTCGAGACTGCTGCTAATAAAGCAGTCAATTTTTAGCAAAAACCTGAAGAGAAGCCACGGGTCTGGTGCGACTTCTGCAACAAACCGCGCCATACTCAGGAGAACTACTGGAAAATCTACTGAAAACCAGCGAATTGGAAGAGTAGCAAGCCTGGTGACAAAAATAGGCGTGCGGTTCCTACTGCCAATGAAGCTGAGACAAGTCCCTTAAGCAAGGAGCAGATGGATCACCTTCTGAAGCTGCTGAAATTTAATTCCTCATCTGGTATTCCTAGTGTTTCTCTTGCACAAACAGGTAGTGCACTTAATGCCCTTTATTGTTGTTTAAATTATACTCCATGGATCATCGATTCTGGAGCCTCTGATCATATGACCAGCCTTTCCAATCTTTTTAGCACTTACTCACCATGTTCTGGTCTTGAAAAAATTAGAATTGCAGATGGTAGTTTCTCACCTATTGTAGGAAAAGGTTTAATAAAATTATCCAAGAATATAGATCTTAAATCTGTTCTCTATGTCCCTAAACTAGCTTGTAACCTTTTGTCTGTGAGTAAACTAACCAAAGAATCTAATTGTCGTGTAATTTTTTGTGATTCTTATGGTGAATTTCAAGACCAGAGCTCGGAGAAAAAGATTGGCAGTGCTAAGATAATAGATGGACTTTATTACTTTGATGGGGACTTCTCCAGTAATAAAAAGGCTCAAGGCCTTAGTAGTGTTAGTTCTAACTCTATTTATGAACAAATAATGTTTTGGCATTTAAGACTAGGACATCCTAGTTTTCCATATCTTAAACATTTGTTTCCTACTTTATTTAAAGGTTTGGATTGTTCATCTTTTTATTGTGAAAGTTGTTACTTATCTAAGAGTCATTGTACTACTTTTTTGCCAAAACTTTATACTTCTTCAAAACCATTTTATTTAATAAATAGTGATGTTTGGGGACCTTCAAGAGTCACTACTATCTTTAGGAAAAAATGGTTTGTTACCTTTATAGATGATCATACCTATTTATGTTAGGTTTATTTGATGAATGAAAAGTCTGAGGTTGAAAATTTTTTAAAAATTTTTTACACCATGGTTGAAACTCAGTTTCAATCAAAAATTGGCATTTTTCACACCGATAATGGAACCGAGTATTTTAATGAAATTTTGGGGAGTTTTTTTAAAGAAAAAGGTATTCATCATCAGTCTACATGTGTGGATACCCCTCAACAAAATGGAATTGCTGAAAGAAAAAATAAACATTTACTTGATGTGGCTCGTGCTATAATGTTTTCAATGAATGTTCTAAAATATCTTTGGGGGGAAGCTGTTTCAACAGCTTCGTATTTAATTAATAGAATGCCTTCCGTGTTTTAAAATATAGCACGCCATTAGAATGTTTCAAAAGAAATTTTCCATTATCAAGGATATACTTGGATTTACCTCTAAAGGTTTTTGGCTGCATAGCTTTTGTTCATATACCTAATAATACTCAGTCTAAACTTGATTCTCGAGCTAAAAAATGTGTTTTCATAGGGTATGCTTCTAATCAAAAGGGATATAAGTGCTATAACCCCCAAATAAGAAAATTTTATGTAAGTGTGGATGTCTCTTTCTTTGAAAATAAATCCTACTTTCCCAAAAATTCTCTTCAGAGGGAGAATGAGGTGATGGAAGAAAATTTTTAGGATTTATCTCCTGCTCATTTACCAAATGTGATTTTGACTCCTTCACCTCATCCTACTGTTATTCTCGAAATTCAAAGTCAGGAACAATGTGATAAAACCAATGAAAACAATGAAGGGAATCCTAGTCATATAGTCCCAAACATTGCTGTATCTGAAACAGGGGAAGAATCACTACAACCGGGCACAAAAGTTCCCAATATTGAGCCTCTGATTTATACTCAGAGAATACCTCATCAATAGAGTCAAATTCAGCCTATTCCTCTTGGAATTGATCAATCTCAACCTTTGGGAACTGGACCTCCAGATATCGCAGGTAATTTTGTTCCTAACTCATCTTCAGTTCCTATTGCTTCTCCTAACCAAGAACCATCAGACCTTGATATTTCTATAGCTGTTAGGAAAGGTATTCGAATCAAATATCCAAATCTAAAATATCCCATTCCCAAATACCTTTCTTATGAAAAACTCTCTCATGCCCATAGGGCTTTTACCTAAAAAATCTCACACTTGTTTGTCCCGAGAAACATTCAGGAAGCTCTTAATGATCCGAATTGGAAGCAAGCAGTGATGGAAGAGATGAATGCTCTTAGAAGAAGTGGTACTTGAGAGATAGTTGATTTACCTAAGGAGAAAAAAACAGTAGGCTGCAAGTGGGTCTTTACTGTGAAATGTAAAGTTGATGGTAGCATAGAGAGGTACAAGGCCAGACTAGTAGCAAAAGGGTTCACCCAGACCTATGGAATTGATTATCAGGAAACTTTTGCTCCTGTAGCCAAGATAAACTCATTCAGAATTTTGTTATCTTTAGCTGTGAATTTCAGCTGGCTATTACACCAGTTAGATGTAAAAAATGCTTTTTTAAATGGAGATCTCGAGGAGGAGGTTTTTATGAATCTACCACCTGGAGAAAATTGGGACCTAATAAAGTTTGTAGACTGAAGAAATCTTTATATGGTCTCAAACAGTCCCCTAGAGCTCGGTTTGAGAGATTTGGGAAAGCTGTGAAGAATTGTGGCTACTATCAGAGCCAAGCTGACCATACCATGTTATACAAACACAGTAGAGAAGGCAAGGTTGCAGTGTTAATTGTCTATGTGGACGATATAGTCTTGACAGGTAATGATAATGAAGAATTGGAGAGACTGGAAAAGAGACTTACAACTGACTTTGAGATCAAGGATTTGGGTGCATTAAAATACTTTCTTGGAATGGAGTTTGCTAGATCCAAAGAAGGTATATTTGTGAATCAACGTAAATATGTTCTTGATTTACTTAGTGAGACAGGTCTGCTAGGATGTAAACCAGCCGAGACACCTATTGAGCCCAACCTTAAGCTGTAGCCTTTTAAAGATAAAGAAGTTCTGAATAGAGAGCAGTATCAAAGACTTGTTGAAAAACTGATCTACTTGTCACATACACGTCCAGATATAACTTTTGCAGTCAGCATGGTTAGCCAGTTCATGCATTCACCTGGACGAAAACACTTTGATGCAGTCTACAGAATTCTTAGATACCTAAAGGGGACCCCTGGAAGAGGTCTACTGTTAAAAAACCGTGGGTATTTGCAAGTTGAAGCCAATACTAATACAGATTGGGCTGGGAGTGCTATTGATAGACGGTCAACTTCTGGCTACTGCACCTTTGTTGGAGGTAACCTTGTCACCTGACGGAGTAAAAAACATAATGTAGTAGCAAGAAGCAGCGTAGAGGCCGAGTTTAGATCAGTTGCTCGTGGAATTTGTGAGGTGTTATGGATTAAGAGACTATTGGATGAATTAATGGTCTCTAATCTGTTGCCTATAAAATTGTACTGTGACAATAAAGCTGCTATTTCGATCGTTCACAATCCAGTGCTTCATGACAGAACAAAGCACGTGGAGGTAGACAAACACTTCATCAAGGAAAAGCTTGAAAACAGATTGATCTGTATGCTGTACATTCCTACTACAGAACAAGTTACAGATGTGCTTACAAAGGGACTTCCTACAAGACAGTTCGACAGACTAATTGGCAAGCTGGCTATGGAGGATATCTTCAAACCAGCTTGAGGGGGAGTGTTGAAAAGGAA